TTAGTTTTTTTATTTTATCAATTTTTTTGTATTTTTTTTTTTGACATGTGTTGGCTCATCTAACGTATCGATCTATGTATTATTTTTAACTATAAGGTGACGATCTACTGGTAAGAAGAGTTGATTTGTAGATCGATTCGGGATTCAATTTTCGTGGCCAACACTTCTAAGAATTTATTTTCAAAATGCCCGAGGTTATGCATTGGAAAGTGCTCTTTAATCATGCTCGGGAAAGAATTAGTCTCTAGATATACGAAAAGTGACTCAAAAACACCCTTACTATTAAACCTAAAAAAGAAAAAAAAATCATTTTTAGTCGACATAGTAGTTTATTTATCAATTGTTGCTAAAAAATTGACCAAAAAATCATCAAAAGTGCCACGTTAAATAAATTTAAAGAGTGAAAAAAACATAATAAATAAAAAAGAGTAAAAATACCACATTAAAAAAAATGAAGAGCGAGAAGAACGAATCATGCAAATAATCCATAATTTTTTAGTATCAAATCCCATCCTTTTTACAAGTTGTCAAAAATGAAATTGAACATATTAATAATTATTGTATTTTGTCAAGCAAGTGGCTTTTGTTTTGTACAATCATCTACTGCTACATACATGATTTTACTTGGGATAACATGTGATCGGAACAAGAACATATAGATTATATTAGAGGTCGCTTTATAATATATGTGACCCTAGGTAATATAATTTTTTTTTTGACAATTTTCAACTATATTTTCATTTAAATCTTTATCTTGTTCTTCTAGTATTTAGGGTTTAATATTAGTAATAAATCTATCAAGTGCACCTTTTTGGGATTGAATTAGTTCTTTTACCTTTATTTTTTTCCTTACATTTTTCATATCCAGATTCATTCTTTCTAATAGACATTTTATTCAAATAATAAAATTAACATATAATTATAAAAAGAGTAAGAAACTTTGGCACCTGATTATATTTGTTTGCCACACCTAATCAAGTCAACTCTGGAGAGAATCACCGAAGAAAATAAAAAGAAATTTGAGAAAAAAAATATTATATGATTTATATACATAATTTTATTTGCATAAATTAAAAAATTACCTTTAGATTCTTCTACCAAGCTAATTAGAAAAAGTTTTATAAGAGATCCCCGATTGTTTGGAGAAAGAAAGGAATATAATAACAAAATTTAGAGATCTAAAAATTGTTTCACTCACAAATATTTTTTTGAAACTTTTCTGTAAGTAAAAGTGTCTCGCTAAAATAAAAATTGAAAGCTTTTATAGGTAGAAGGTAACTAAAAAGATATTTAGAAAAGGTAAAATTTTTAACGTTGAAATAATAATATCTCTAAACAATGAGAGTCTTTAAATGCAAGAACTCTAAGTACCTATGACTCGTTAATAAAGAGAAGAATGATGTCTCATATTTAGATGGAGACTGCATCTTCTAATTTATCTCATTTTTCACGAATGTAGATTTAGCATAAAATTTTAATTGAGACCCCCTTTCTATGGGGGCCCTAGGCATAGGCCTTAACTGGATTATATAGATGGTCTTTGACAAATATGAATGGGGTAATACCGATAGTGTAATCCCTATTATTTTATGATAAAGTTAATTTTAATTTTTTTAAAAGGATATCCCCAATCTATTAATTTTTACCTCTTCAGCAATCGCTATCCACTCCGAACTGTATTTTTCACAACTCTGATGTTGCCAATGGTTCGAAATGTTTGATATTGCATTTCTTTTTTATAATAGGATGTTTCATTAGTGCTTTTCATTCAAATTGGCTCCTTCAAATATGATTCATCACACGTGCCGTGTATTTTAGGCATGCTGTAGAATATGTTGATAATAATATAAAATTTACGCATGTCAAAATCTAGGAATATTAAGAATTGTGATTTTTTTTTAAAAAAAATGGAATGTTAAGTTATTAAGACTTTCTTTTTCTTTTATTCTGAGATAATGTTAAGAGTTTATATATATATATATAATGCACATATTTGCCATACAGGCATACACCGAGTTATGGAATTTCTAGATTTTTTTTTTTTTTTTTGGATGAGGCTATTCTCCACTAATTATAAATGATAGTATATGTTATTTTTTTTCCTAATGCAATATAATTCTCGGAAAAAAAATATTGTATCTAAATTTTTTCTTTAAATGGATATATTCTACCGTTGACCTTATGTAATTAAGAGACATAAGTTTATGTAAGAGTAATAAAAAAAAAAAAAGAAAAAAAAAAGAAAAAAGAAGATAACAAACCTCTTTAAACTGGCGAACTCTCTATAATAATATTTTTGTAGATAAAAGAGGTTAGGAGGAATAAATTATAAGTTAGTCCCTCTCGTTACAAGAAACGAATTAATTATTTTCTTCTATTTTAAAAACTAATTATTTAATTTTTTACGTTTTAATTATATCAATAATTTAGTTTGTTCATTAGAGTTTTGATATATTAGTGATTTTTTTCTTTCAATTTGTCCTTCTTTTGAAGTTTTTTTTCTCTTTTTCATTCACTTCGTTTCTCTCTTTTTAACAAAAAATTAAAAGAATGATAATTTAAAAATAAAAATCACTAATATAACAAAAAATTGATAAAAAAAATAATAATTTATAGATGGAATTAAATGTAGGAGACTAAATTATTAGTTTTTGGAATGAAGAGGACTAATTAATTTGTTTTTTTAAACGAGAGTGACTAATTTACTCAAATTAAGGGTATAATGATATTTTTTCATCTCGGTTGTTCTTACCGATTTTATACCACCCTTCAATTCGAATTAGCAAAAACAATGCCTTCTTACATAATATGAATTTCAAACATTCATGATTTAGATATAAATGAGTCCAATTACTTATCTCTCGGCCTATCAATGAACTATCTCTTCGGGGATTTTAAAATCTAGAAATATTAAGAATTCTGATTTTTTTGTTTAAAAAAAAAATGGAATGTTAAGTTATTAAGACATTTTTTTTTCTTTTATTTTGAGATAAGTTATTTCTTATTAATGCACATATTGATATTGCCATACAGGCATACACCGAGTTATGGAATTCCTAGATTATTATTTTTTTTTTTTTATTTGGACGAGGCTATTCTCCACTAATTATAAATGATAGTATTTTTTTTCTACTGCAATAGAATTCTCGAAAAAAAAATTGTATCTAAATGTTTTCTTTAAATGGATATATTCTACCATTGACCTTATATAATTAAGAGGCATAAATTAGCATAAATTTATGTAAGATTTCAAAATTCGAACTCGAAAAAAAATAAAAATAACAAACCTCTTTAAATTGGCTAACTCTGTATAATAATATTTTTGTAGATAAAAGAAATTAGGAAGAGTAAATTAGAAGTTAGTCCCTCTCTTTTTAAGAAACGAATTAATTAGTTTCTTTCATTTTAAAAACTAATCATTTTAATTATTTACGTTTTAATTCTATCAATAATTTCATTTTTTTCATTAGAGTTTCAATATATCAGTGATTTTTTTTCTTCCAATTTGTCCTTCTATTGAATTTTTTCCCTCTTTTCTCTCACTTTCTTTCTCTCTTTTCAACAAAAAATTAAAAGAATGACAATTTGAAAATAAAAATCACTAATATAACAAAAAATTGATGGAAAAAAACTAATCTATAGATGGAATTAAAATATAAGAGACTAAATGATTAGTTTTTGAAATGAAGAGGACTAATTAATTTATTTTTCTAAACGAGAGGGACTAATTTACTCAAATTAAGGGTATAATGATTTTTTTTTATCCCATTTGTTCTTACCGATTTTATATCATCTTTCAATTCGAATTAGCAAAAACAATGTCTCTTTGCAAAATATGAATTCCAAACATCCATGATCTGAATGTGAATGAGTTGAATTACTTATCACTCGGTCTATTAGTGAACTATCTTTTTAGAGATTGTGAAAGATGTTTTATTAGAAATATTCTTGTCATCGCTTCTACTTGTATTCTCCAAAAAGTGGATTCTCAAAAGTAAGATATAATGTTAATAACATTTCAAGAGTATCTATGGATACCACTAATTTATATTTTTCATATCTATTTCGAAGTTTATTTATTCGTAAAAATAAAGATAATATGAAAAAAAGAAAATTTTTATAATTTAATTTATTTTTACTTTCTCAAAAGAAGGAACACCTTATTTTTATTAAAGCAGAATCCGGCCCAGCCGATACTCAGCCTCGTAGATCGACAAACAAAAAGTTGATTAAACAATGCTACGAGTAGTTATGGCAACAAGTTATCTGAATCACACATCATAATCATGGGCTTCGCCAAGATAATATATACTGATGCTGAATTTGGTGTGATGACGCTGTGGACCTTATGGGATGATAATTACTTCTCTGTTCTGGTTAATTAGTCATATCTTGGATGTGTCCAAATCTTTTCTAGCCTTTAGTTGTAAGCATGTTAGCAGAACTCTGAATAAGGCTGCTCATGCTTTAGCTGATTTGGCTAGATTTGAAGCTACTGACTCTGTAATAATGGAGGATGTTCCTCCCACAGCAGCTAAATTTGTCCAGGAGGATGAAACCGTTTCCCTTATTGAATGAAGATTGCTGATTCTTATATATATAAATGTTAACAAATTAAAGACTCGCCTTTGCAAGTAAATGTTTGGTTATAATTGACATGAGAAATAATTCCATTGAAAAGGATTGTTTACATTAGAAATGCATTTACAAAACAACTTCCCAAACATAAGAAATACAAATGTCTTTGTTTTCCTTTTCCTCGCTCTTCCTTTTCCATCTCTAAAAAAAAGAAAAACTTCTAATATCCAATACCCCTGTTAATAAAGAATGTCTTTTCTGTATGTCCTCCTAAACATTAGAAAAAATGCTATGGATCAGTATACAATCAACAACTGATTTCTCAACCTTTTAGTTGCATCAACCATGCTTCGACAATGTTGTCACCCCATCTTCTTTTACGTCATGAATCTTGATAGCCATTGTTAATGCTACTCGATTGATCATAACGAAAAATTATAGCGGTAGACATCTGGGAGCATACCAAGACCAGTATAGCAGTCATCGATATGAGAATCATCTACCTCCTTCATTTTACCATTTGATGAAGAAGGTTGCATAGCTGAAGATGCTGGTTGGGAATAGGTACTTAAGTTGTTGAAAGGATCGTTGTTTAGTTGTGCGTTATGTGTATATGAACAAGCAGCGTCCGTAGGCACAGCCATAAGGCTGTTAGCTTCTTCTTGTTCATTTTTGTTAAGTTGTTCTATAAGTAGAGCTAAAGATGATTTTTCTTCATCCCTAGCTTCGCATATCTGCGGTGTGTATATGTAGTTATAGTTTTGGTTAGTAGGCTGTGGTGTTTGAGATGGCACCGATGCTGGCCTTCCCGCCTTTGTGATAGAGAAATACTGCTCCCTCGCATGAAAAAGACATCAAAAAGTTATTCATGATTTTGCATTTACTGGACATCTATTTGAAAAATAATCATGCAATAACATAACACTTCACTTTATCAAACGCAATCTAAAGAGGACTGCTCGGGACAGAAGCGTGTCTTGACTGCCTCATCTAGGTTATCTATGGCTCACGTGCAAAAGCCACTAGGTCCTCCTAGTGCACGTAGGCCATGGACGACCAAACGGGACAGTCCAATCTAAAACTAAAAGACAGCATTTTTTGCACTCCATTTTTTTTTTTTTTTGTTTCAAATCGTTTGTTCTTGATTATGTGATACACTAGAGCGTTTTCTTTAGATGTTGGTAAAAATGCACTCTTTGTAATGCAATGTCGTGCCTCTATGTGTTCAGCCAAGGTATCACCGTACTGGTAGGACCCTCTCCTTCTCAGCCCCACAGAGATAGCACTCGTGCCACCAAACCAAGTTGTATATAGTAAGGCAGTTTAATTACCAACACATCATCAGCTAATTTTGTCATTTTTAGCGTAATTTGTCTGTCTTTATCCCTTCATATCCTTCCAAAGGATGTGTCAGCATCATAGAAAAGGTCAAGGGAAACATTGTCACATAGCTAAACAAACTTGTGCCCTTTACAAAATTCAAATCCCACTTTTAATTTTTGGACATAATCTAAATTACCAGTATCATTGCAGTAATAAGGAAGATGAACTCACGAGGTTTTTGCTCTCATCCTCGTAAAGAGAAAGGGAATCTCCAGTCTCCAGCCCATTTCGCTTTACGAATTCTCCTGTAGAACGTAAAAGAGATTTGTGCATTGGAATGAAATAGATCCAAAATAAAAAGACTTAAGACTAAACCAGAAAGAACCGAAATTAGCTGTGCATTTACCTGTATTTTCGAGAACATACATCCTACTCTTGTTGTTAGACCAATACCTATGTCACCAACAGACAAAAAAATTTGTCTTCAAGAGGCAACAGAATAACTCAAGGTAACATTTTAAAGCGGGGGAAAAAAAAGATGATCAAGAAAAAGAAAAATGTAGCATCCAAATGCTCACTTGAACTTTAAGGCCCACTCTTGGCTAGAGAATATGTCTCTGAGAAAAAGTAGGATTCCTTCTTTATCATTGAGGACAGGAAGATTTTCCTCTACTTCTCTCTGAATTGACATGCAAGAAAAAACTTGAATATTAGAGGTTACCATTTCTGTAAGAAGCACAGAAAAACGAAAAAAGAAAAGAAAGGATCAGTTCAATCTTTAGCACTTCTTGTTTTTGTGCACAAATCGAGAAGTCAGGAAGAGGTTAGTTATTGGGCAGTCTAAATCACATTCATGTTGCAGTGTTCAATAAGAGCAAGTCAAACATGGGTATTGGTTGGCTATTTTGCCTCGTTTTCTGTCTTTTTAGATGAAAAGAAATGATGAAAGAAAGGAACAGAAATCGAAACAAGAAAAAAATCTTCATACAATCGCAAGGCACTAAAAACAGCCTCGTTCATCAAGAAAACCATACCTTTGGAAGGACAATCCTGCCAAGAGACCCAACATCACTATTCCTCAAGTCCTTCCTAAGTAACGCTCTCAGTCTCTGCACCCAAACAAGAAAAAATTTTAAACGAGTTATAAAAGTAAAAGAACCAAACTAAAAGAGGTAACAGATGAAAACAAAATACACGAGTAACCAAAGTTCATGATCTGAGAAGAACCTACCTTGTTATCAGGTGTTAAGAACCTGTAAAGATCTTTGCTAGTATTGCTCCTGCTGCTTTGGTCATCAGTACTAGCACCATGCAAAGCCAATCTCCTTGCATCCGTTATTTGAGTTGAACTAGCCCCAGTAGAGTTTTTATTACTAAGGCTTCTTTGGCGTGCAAGTTTTCTCTTACACCTTGCCATCTTTGTCTTGTATGCATCAAGAGCTCTCCTTTCTTGCTCTAATTGTAACGCATTAGGCTGCAAAACGCATGATCTTTGCATTTCAAAAGCATTTTGGCCAACCATGAGAGGATAGAAAGGATCTGCAGATGGTGCATACTGGCTAGGCTGCTGATCTAGAGAATGTGTGTATGGAAATTGGAAGCTTTCACAAGGTGGTGGCATATAGTACTGTGGTGGAAAGCAGTTTGACTGATTTAACGAGTTTGAAGGTGTTGAAGGGTAGCTCAGTGGTCCATACATAGAGGAGAACTGAGAATTCTGAGGACAACCCATTATTGCGTTGTTAGCACTGGCGGTATTGGTGGTGTTACCAGTGCTGGTGGATAAAGCTGAAAAAAGGTTCTCCATATATCAAAATGGACACAGAGAGTAGTGAATGACGAGTCTTTGAGGCTGTGTTAGTGATCAGAGAGAATCTTGTGTGTGTATGTGGTTGTGCGAGTGTGTTTAAGTAGGAGGTTTGATTTCTAGCAAGCATACGATCTGGTAAGAAAGGGCCATGAGGGGTGCAAGGTGCTGCCAGTTGAAACAATCCAGGTGTTAAAAAGCAAGATAAACGCGTCAAGAAATGCAGTGGGGTTGGGTTGTAGAGATAGAGATTAAAGGCCATGAAGAAAGAAGGGAGATAAGACTAGAGTTAGCAAACAGGGGTTTGAATGCAGAGTGCCAATAGCGTGAAGAGAGTGACAAGTGGCCGGAGGGTGGTGGTTTAGGGATACACAACTGACCTGTGAGGAACTTGAGACAGAGAGGCATAGGGTTTGAAACTTGGCGCCAGCTTTGATTTAAATGTGGCAGCCCTTGGGTAGCCTTGCACAGAAAACCATTCCATAATGGCTAAACAATGCATTGATGGCCAGATGCCAACAGTCAACTCCCTCCCTCCCTCCCTCTCTATATACCATCTTTGCCAGTCTCTTTCCCTCCTCAGCACACGCTAAAGCCAATGTACCTAGAGTTGTATGGATAGTGAGAGTGTTGAGGAGTGAAGCCTAAAGCCTGTGGACTCTGCTAATTCAATGATTGTCTATTCTTATGCGCACAGATTCTAGTTCCACACATCATTATAAAACCGACTGGAAAGATCAGTTTCTCCTTTTAAATGAAAGCGTGGAAACTGTCCCTTCCAGCCAGTTTCCAATTTTGGGCAGCACCAACTCAGCATCTTCTCCCCTTATTGCATTTTCTCTTTGTTTTATTTAGTTAAAACATTTACTACTAAGTACTAGTCTTGTCAGCTTTAGTAAATATTATATTCTAGATATTTATAACTAAATAAGGGGTTATGTAATGTTTGGAATGTGAGTAAAAGACGGTAATAATGTTTGGAATGTGAGTAAATTGAGGGGCCAAAACTGAAGTTGCAATTTGTTTGTCATGCTTTTCAGCCACTCCCTGGTATTTCCATTTTGATGCCTTATCTGGCTTGGTAGACACCAGGTCGGTCATGGCCTGAGGACCAAAGTCACAATCAAGTCCATCCTGCATCAAGCGAATGTGAATTTATGAGCTTAGATTTGGAAAAGCAGAAAACATCAGACTCAATACAAGGACTGAGTGACTAAAGTGACCATCAAACTCACTAAAATGGCGATGAGTCAATGACATATAAGAGATTAAAGGAAAGTTTTATCAGTTGCACTGAAACTGCAAATCACTCAACCAAGACTCACTCGGTCACAGGAATTATTAGTGAAATTTTTTTAAGCAAATTCTGAAGTCTCTAAAATGCCAGGCAAGGCGTCCCAAAGAAAGCAATCACTATTATATTCAGACCAAGAGAAAGAAAGTAGAAAGATATAATACACATACAAAAACAGTCGTACACACGTCCACACATGCACACGCACACGCGCACACGCACACGCACACGCGCACACGCACACGCGCACACGCGCACGCACACACACACAACAAGAAATAAAGAATGCAAGGATCTATTTGATTTGTCTCTTCAGACATCTAGAAGACGTGTAACACATGGAAATTGTAAAACAGACTATTCTTAGAATCAGTCATCAAATACGCCAAAAGAGTTGATGTGAGGTGCCACAGCAATGGGACAAACAGGATAAATTGGGGGCTACATGTCAATATGAATGCATCAGAGTTAAAATGTGTTGATCAGTAAGGGCATCAAGGTCAAGATATGCATTATTTGTCACAATAAAATTTTCTTGATTAGATATCTTTGGAGTCCATTAAGCATTAACCTTACTAGGTTAAGCTACATCCTCAGATAGAAAAGAGTCACCTTGGATGAGTTTGCTGTCAGCTCCCTCATTCTTTTCAACAGCTGAGATTGTCCGACGCTTAAAGCTGCTTCTAGCTGCTGACTGCATTAGATAAAAACAAGACAATCAATCCTCTTATCAAGACCAATGTGACATAACGTATGAGTTTATGCTATTATGAAAAAGAAACCGGGTGCCCCTATGCATCTTGAAGATCAACTTTCGTGTCATTTTTGTGGAATTAAAGTTGATGCACATGTATTGATTTCTCAGGTGCCGACAAAAGATTTAAAATAGAAAGATCTATTTCCGCATGAAAATCTCACTGCCATTTGGGTTAACTAATTGTTTGGGCATTAAATGCATGCATCCCTCTAATTCCAACAGATAAAACCACAACCTAAGAACATCATTAGGGAATTTTTTCTATTTTAGTAAAATTCAGCAGCTTCACTTAATAAAGGCACTATCTACCTCAGAATCAGCATTACATACTATAAAAGTAGAAAAAGATATGAATGAAGATAGCAAAATCATTTATGCAGTTGGTTACGAAGATTTAGATGATCAGGCATTGTTATCAAAATCAGTAAAATAAGAATTAAGAGCATAAGCTTTTCCTTACGGAGAAATCATAAGATTAAAAATAGTTTAGCATTAAGTCTCTACTTTGGAAAGAAAGAGGATGGGTAAAGCACAGAAAGCAGGGAAGACCATGACCATCATGCACTGAACTCTTTTCTGATTCTACCATTATAAATGGAACATGATTGTAAAGTTTCCACACATTGAAGCAGAGGCAGGCACCAATTCTAAACAGAAACTGATATAGACAAAAGGTTAAACATTGTTTCCCAAGTTTTGTATGCATATAGTGGTAGATCAAAATCTTCCTTTTACTGGTAAAGACAGAAAATCTCCAATTTTAAGAGAAAATGATACATGAACACTTGTAAAAAAGATGCGATTTTTCTTAACTTTTGTTGACAACTGTAAATCACAATCACAAATTTTTGAACCCAACAGTTGCTTTAAACAATGATATTGAAATTAAAATGACTATCAGTATTTCCAATTTTGTCAACAAGCAATGGCGATGTTGAATTTTTTTTTTTGCACTAAAAGTCATATCTTCTGTCGCAAGAAAATGTTTAGACCTCCTATCACCTTCATTCATGCTGCTAATTTCACAACGAGATTTCCTATCAGATTCTTTACCTTGCATAGCCACGCTTCAATTACATGTTTTAAGAATAAAAAGAAGAGCAATTTTGACAAGGATGCCTAAGCCTGAACCTGCCAGAGAAATTTATTGTCTTACGTAAAATCAGGAATAGGATCTGCATATTAAAATATTTTAACCAGACAAAAGAATCAACACAAAAAAAAACATGAGATTATCTGAAGATTCAATTAATAAACATGAAAATAGAACAAAATTTCTCGTGAAATCTACTTAATAGAGATATAAAGAGCACATTTAAGCACCAGATGGACATTATGACAGCATCTTGATTTGCGTATGATAATGACAAAGCAATATAATTGTAACAATATTTGCATGTAAGAAGCATAAGGCAGAACTACTGCACTTGACTTACAGAGCAATTAAGGCAAGACTCTGGAAGCTATGGTAAGGAAACCTTCCCATGTCAGCAAATGAAAATAACATTCACCACCAATATGAATCGAATGGTTTTTTGAATTGAAAACTTCAAGGATTTTGTAAACAGAAAAGGAAGTTTAGCAATAACAAAAATGGAGGAATTAAAGATGGATGGATGGATTTGTAAAGAGGCTTTCAGCAACCAGTGTTTATATAGAGTGGAGAAGAGAGCCTGCATGCAACTGCAAAAGCGTTGATCCAACACCTGCCTATTGCCGTGTCAATAGCTGCAACAGTCGAGAAGTTACTGCTAAACACGTTGAATAATGGCCAAAACGTTACGCTCTAAACGACAATTTAATGAGATGCAATGAACTTGCCATTCACGTCCATCATTTCATTTGTATTTTCTATTCAAAATCACTAAAGCAGCTTAATTATTAAAATAAAAAATAAAAAATCACTGAAACAGCTTCAAAAACATGCAAATCGGCAACATCCCGAAATCAGATATCCTACAAAGTCCATTCACATAGTTCATCTTCACCACTGAGGTTGGATAAACCTCTAGGAAGATAAAGCATGAGAAATGTAGGGAGACATCAATGGTCAAAAAGTGATTTAACAAATCTAATTTCATATAACAGTTCTGCATATTCCAAGAGTGCAACGGGGCACGTATAACATCACTAATTGTAACTATGTAAGAGAGTTCTGGATATGTTAATAGTGGAAAGGAGCATTAATGAACCTAAAAAATTGCAAGAGGCCTGGAAATGCTAAGACAAAGCATTATAAGCATAATTGGATGCACCAAAAAGAATGCATCTATGCAGATCAGCATATCCGCCTCCACAGAGCAAATTTCTCAACATCAAGTAGCATAGCATTCAGAGGCCATAATATTATTGGATTCCTTTTACAGCCAAGTGAAATTCCTATAGCATTCAAAACCAGCATAATTAGAATGTTAGTTGATAAAGTATCCTTGAACTTCAGTTTTCAGCAGTCGATCAACAGCATTTCTAGATTAGATTCAGGCAGCTCTTTTTAAAGTTTCCATTTGTTTTTGAGAACTTTGGCTTTTGAGGTTGTACTTTGAATCAATACTATGGTACTTAGGCTAAAAGGGCCTCTTTTCCCATTGCAAGAACACAATCTTGGTTACAAGATTCTTATATTATCACACGAACAAACTCAAACAGAAAACTTAAAATGGCTCCAACGAAATAAGCAGGTTGGTTGGGCTAGAAGAAACTTCCGCATACCCCATAAACAGATAATACAATATGAATAAATGTGTTCCATTCCAAAAGGGTCTTCATTTTCAACATTTTTCTTCATTGTAAGCTATTTGTATAGCATCTACAATGGTGTCAAGTACTCCATATACATTTAAGAATTTTCCATCTCATGACCAAATAACAAATTAGACAGCCTAGACGCGTTGCTTTCTCTTTAATTGACACTCTTGCTACGACTGAACTTGTTGCTTCAACTAGCAAGAAGAAAGTCCCAACAGTTCCAAGTCATCTTAAAGTATGGATACTCCTTTAAGCTTTGCTCCCCTTAAACATTTCACTGGCAGCCATCAGTAGAACAAGAACCAACTATCCTAACTTAACAATAACAAGTGGTTTCTTATGAAATGCTGGAAATTTTCCAGGGCACTTAGCAAACTAATTTCTAAGGCATTAAAGAGTGATGAAAGGACTGACATTAAAAGGCAAAACTCATGAACTCCTCCCCCTCTTTGTACAACAAATAAGTGCCAACATAATTTATGCATGTCAACTGCTTGTAAATTTTCCTGAAAGCAGAATAATTTGGACCACAAGTACAGGCCAAATAGGAGTTTGTTATTGAACCTTGAGCAATAAGTTTATGGGAAGTAGCTACATAGGCTATCAGTCAGTCGCGACCGTCCATAGCATTCATTCCGCTTTCATATCTGTTCTTACATGAATAAATTATGTGACTCCACTTACTTCTACATAACCCTTTAACCTATGCCTAATCAACTTAAACACTTTCATCTGCTGAAATGTTTGTTTGATCACGTGATGATGGATAAAAATGTGCAAAGATAGTATTAAAAAAAAAAAAACAAAGTTCAACGCCCATGTTCTGCTATTTCCTAGAGGTCAGGGATTCTAACTTCTCTCTCCTTTGTAACAATTAAAAAAAAATGGAAAAAGAAAAAAAGAAAGGATAAAAGGGAAAGGGACTGCAGAGGAGAAGTTGTGATTGTGATTGTTACCTGAAATTGGTGATATAAAAAAATGGGTGGTCGTTGCATTGGATGCATGTGTCTGTCTCGTCTCCCTTTGAAAATTGTTGTGATTTTGGTCGTGGAATTGAGACCGTTGAAATCAAGAGTGACCAAATTGGCAAAGGCTGGTTCAGGCTGAGCTGACTAAATTTTCGTCGAGCAGTAGAAACTTAGTACCCGACGGTTACAAGGGCGTTAGGTAGAGAGAGTTCACCCACAGCTTTCATGAGTAACAGCAGAGTTAAAATTGGATGATATTGGGCCAAGGCTTGTATGTTTAAATTGGATACCATTGGGCCAAGGCTTGCAAGTATTGGCCCATTGGATTGTGGTAGTTTCAAAGGAGCCTCAAGTCACAACTTGCACTTGTCGTTGTTGGTCTGCGAAGAAAAAAATCAGGTATTTGAAGAGATCATCGTCGGATGAATAAACGGAAACGGACATGGTCTTTGATTTCAGAATATCTTTAATACTATATGTTAACATTGAGTGCCCGTTTGCCAACCATCGTTTTTGCCCTTTTTTCGCCCCCTTCTCAAAAGCCATTTAAAAAGATATTTGGTAAAATTTTAAAAGTAATTTTGCAAATCATTTGGAAGACAACAATTAGAAGTTACAAAATGAAATTTTAAAGTGTTGAATCTTATATAACATAAAAATTATTTTGACAACATATATTATCAAATGTTTTTTTACAAATATATCAACTACAGCTATATTTAAAAACCATAGCTTATCCAGACAGATAGTTAGTGTATAAAGAGATTAATTTAGTGTTTCTCCACTAGAGTATTCAATAATTTCTTCCCTAACCCACAAAGATAACTGAAGTGGCAAAGTAGTGGGAGTGAATTGGTTGGTGTTGGTTTGAACGAAAAGTTTGTATAATGTAAGATGACCAAAAATCCTCCTTTTTTTTTCTTTTTTTCTTTTTTTTTATAACGTGGGTGTTCGAGTCGACTTACGCGCACCTCGACTAATCCCACGAGTCCCGAAGTTATCGACCATGTAAACATCCAGGTGGTCACACCAAGAAGAGCAATCGGGACTCGAACCCGAGACTACGAGAGGAAGTAAATCCTTTGGTATCAAATTCTTGTCGCTGCGTCACCCCTTAATGGTTAAAAAAAAAAAATCCTCCTTTTTATTCTTTTGGTTATTGTGTAGCACCAGTCGGGTTCTGATTCAACTTATCACAATATTGCTGAGGCAGCTTATGAATTTGACCTAAAGAAAGAAAGGCTAAGATGGCATTTATTTTGCTCTAACTAACAGCGCAACGTTTTCATATTTGGCCCTTGCAAATCAAACGTGAGCCTAGCGCACAAGTCATTACACCGACGAGTAATTGGCCTGAGTGTTCTCGTTCGGCCTAAAAACTACCTTCGTATCCACAACTATATTGTTGACGAATCAGACTCGATTGCATTATAGAAGATTCGAATTTAATTTACATATTAAAACATATCCAATCGAATTTTATAAATTTAGATCGAGTTTTAAAATATGAAATTGGATCCGAATCCTAATAGATTCGAATCGAATTTAGAGCTTTATCAGATTTATCAATTGATTTTTTTGTAAAAGATTTATGATTACTACATTTTATATATTGCTCAAATATAAAATATATTTCAACTTCTATATGTAAATAATATATATTAAGATAATATTCTATTTACCAATTTTACAAAAAAAAATCAAAATGTCACATAATTTAAAAGTATAAAATCAAATAATCTTAATAAAAGTTTGTATTGAACTAAGTAAAAAATATGATAAATTAAAAGAAATAAATAATAAATAATTTTTATTTCTTAGCCACGTGACATAAAAAATAAACTGATGAAAAATTTAATAACACAATTTTGAAAATATATATAATTCAATTTACAATTTTTTTCACGAAAGTGAATTAAAAAAATATTAAGAAATTTATACGTGATTTTTATAAAAATTCAGTTGCCACTGTTGAAGGACATGCGTTATTTAAACTTTATAATAAATAAATTCTAAATTTCAACCTAATTTCATATTTATGTATTTTTTTCATATTTAAATTTTTACTATTTTAAAAAATAATACATTTATTATAAAAATATTATTTTTTTAATTTCAAATCGGATCAAGATAAATTCAAATTTGATCCATTTAATAATCGAATTAATAGATGCAAACCGTAATCGGATTCGGATTAAGAAAATTATTTACTAGATCTATTTAATTATATCAAATTCGAATCGAATTTAAATTAAGATCTAATCGATTTGCATCCATATTGACAACGAGACTTAGGCAGTAGCCTCCCCAGCTCCCAGCCAATTTGTGCCCCTATATTTTATTGGCGTCAACCATTCCAATAACCTGAATTACACAAACCAATTTGTTGCTACCCTTTTAAAAATTTTGGATGACGATTTTTTGAATAGATGTGGTGTAACACCAATGGAATTCGAGTTAGTTAAATCATCTTTTTGTTTTTTATTTTATAAAATTTTAGACTAATGAGCTTGTAATTTTCGTTTGACCTAATTTTTTGTCAATCAAAACTTTTCTTGACTTAACTTTGATAATTAATTTTAACTTTTTTAGTATTTGAGGTAAAAAAAATTAACAGGTATGAATAAGAAATTCTGACTATCTAAATTATTAGATGAGGTAAATTTCTTTGGAGGAATTTTTTTTTAATTTTTGATAATTATTCAAAATGACAACTTTTCATTAAAGTAACGTGAATGATCATTTCTCTAGCTATATGGATCATAAAAGAACATTTTAAATCCTTTTATTTTTCAGAAAAAATAACGTAGATTTTACCGCAAAGAAATTATAAATTGTTTTTGGAATTGCCTTATATTGTGTGAAATGATTTTATAATTTTTCAAAAAACACTAAACTTTTCTCTAAATAGTTCTATCGTTAGCCAAATTGAAGTATCCAGCAATGGCAATTCATAGTCATAAACACAATTCTGAGCCATGCCAGCTTGATCGCACGGAACCAATCCCACGCCAAAACGTTTGGTCCAGACTCCAGACACAATACCTATGAAATTTCCCGAATCCCATATGCGTACAGCATTGAACTTGTGCTCCAAGCCAAAAGGATTAATAAAAAATTAAATCTATTCTTTAATATTTTAAAATAACATTATTTGCATTGACTAAATACGTTTTAAAAAAACAATAAATTTAAATAATTGAATATCATATACAAAAATTAAATATCTATTTTTAATAATAAGTGATGAGTTGTAGATTGATTCGTCCATCAAAATTAAGAAATGTGATTTATATACTCAATAATAATTATTTGATGACTGTCGAAGATATTGGATGATTTATTTGCACTCAATATGTATAAAATAAGCCCTTCTAATTAGATGATGGATCTTTCAACAACAAATTAGTGATCGGAAAATAACGAGTTGGCCTAAAAAGATTTTTTTGAAAAAAATATTTGACTATTTATAAGTAATTTTCGGATGAGAGGAAATTGTACCAGACAATGAACTTGATGTGGAATTATTTCCGAGTAAAAAACTGGAATTTATTTTCAATAATTTGGACTTTTATATAAGTAGTTATAAGTGCAATTTGCACGGTATAAAGAATATGAAAATCTTTTCTTTTTAATATTATGGTTTAAGTCGACAAATAGTAGTGCTCTGCTATCATTATGTTTAATTTGCGATGACATTTATACTTATCATAATAAGTAGTGATTTGAACGATATTATTATTGAAAAATCTTTATTAAATGCTTTGTTTCCCTAAGAATAATGGAGGAGAATAATGTTTTTTTACCTCTTATCGGGGCGACTTAAGTTATAATGGTTTCTGAGCTTTAATTTCTTGCAAGGCATGCAGCTCGTCTTGTGGAAAAGGTAGCTGCCCTTCGAGGATTTTGGGGCCGTCGATGGATTGTTATCTTATTTTATGAATTTTGAGCATCAATTGGGTTTGAAGAATTTGATTTGTATGTTTATAAATCTTTCTTGTTAGATTGTATTGGAATAAGACTCATAAGTCTATCCTCGTTTTCAGAACAGTTTACAAAACAAAAGTACAGTACATTTGAATGGAAACCTAAAAATGTCGTTCACATCAAAAGTAAATTCATTTACCTTGAAAGCAAGTTTTCGATCGGTTTCTGTTCTTGTTTTGTTTGTTTTTTTTGGTTTTTTTTTTTTCGTAGCATCTTTTCATTGTAAAAGTTAGAAATAACAATTTACTCCATCCCGATGGAGTCTTGCTCCACCCCACCTCGATCAACGTGAAGATTCCTCGACTTGATTGAGAAACAAAGCAGGACGCCCCGTCTCATATTAACTTTGAACGAAGATGGGACGGAGATGATATTTGCTTGCCTTGTCTTATCTAATTTGGCCGGCTCTATCTCCGAAATTATAATTATACCTTATATAAAATCTATTATGAAGTTTATTTTCTACATGAATTATTATTTTTCTACTATAGTTTGAAATTTAGTAATACAATGAATTGAGACGAGATGAAAATAAAAAATTAAACAGGATAACAATGCTTCGCGAGGATCTTATCCTCGTTTAGGATGAAAATAGTATAAATTATTATTTTTTATTATAATTTAAAATTTAATAATATAATAAATTAAGACGAGATGAAAATAAAAAATTAAACAGCTTATCGATGCTTCGTAAGGATCCCATCCTCATTTGAGATAAAAATGATATGAAAAATATTAATTCGTTTGTAGCGGAATGGAATGAGAAATATTGCTTTGTTTGGAGCACGGCCGGGATTAAGGCAAAATTCTCAAGAGCGGGGGTGGGGAGAGCCCTTCCTAGTAAAAGTAAACCAAAAAAAAGGAAAAAAAAAACTCGGGAGGGAACATGTGTTACCTGGCAAACCATCCACCGGCGAGGTTAAACAACATGTCCTACACGTGTCATGAACTGCCCCATCGTGTCCTTCAAACAAACTGCCACCTTCTCCTCTTCAACCATATTATAACCTGCACAAAGGCACCGAAAGGATAATCACAAGCCAAAAAGAATACACAAAACAAGAAGAGTTGGAGTTACCATCCTAACAATGGCAGCCATTAACATTACCAAAAACGCTATGCTCAATCTCTCAAAAGCCTTCTTCCCTCGGTCCCCTTCTCTCTTCCCCAATTCAAGGCGTAAAGTCTCGCGAGTTTGCTTCACTACCTCTGCCTCCAAATATAACGAGGTAAAGATTTCTTCCGAGAAATTAACCAAATATATATATATATATATAGATGGGCATGTATGTATTGAATCTTTGTAGCTCATTATTTACTGTTGAAATTAATTGGTGGTTTTCGTGTCTTTCAGGGACGGCATGCAGCGGAAGAGGATAGAGACCGGGCGGAAGATTACGCTGAGAGTGCGAAAGAAACTGCGAATGAAACCATTGACAAAACCAAAGAGCGAGCGGAGAAGGAGAAGGAGCGCTCTAAGGAAATGAAAGAGAAGGCAAAAGGAAGTGCAGAGGAAAAGAAGGAGAAGGCGAAGGGCTATGCGCATGAGACAACGGAAAGTGCCAAAGACATGGCACAGTCTGCGGCTGAGAAGGCTAAAGAAGGGACGTATAAGGCAGCAGAGACGGCTGAGGGAACTAAAGAAAGAGCGAAAGTTTATGCATATGACGCAAAGGAGAAGGCTAAAGAAGGGACAGAGAAAGCGGCGGATGCTGCACATGATGCGAAAGAGAAGGCAACAGATTATGCGGGAGCGGCAGGGGATATGGCGAAGGATGGGACTGTTAAGGTGGTTGAGACGGTGGAGAGTGTGGGAGAGAAGGCGAAACAGACAGTGAAGGGAGCTTTGGATGCTGCTAAGGGAACTACACAGAAGATAAAAGAGACTATGGTGGGGAAAGATGATGATGATGATGATGATGATTACAAGAGGGAGAAGAGGATGGATGAGGATGTTCTGGAGTACAGGAGAAGTGCTGCTTCTGGAGAGAGTGACGATGATGCGAATAAGAAGAAGAAACATTGAGAGAGGGAGGGTGCAGGTGGGTTAGAACAAAATTAATGTTGGAGTTTCTTGACAATGATAAAAATAAGTTAGTTTAATTTCCATGGTTATAACGGAGTTTCTATGTGTAATTAAGTTATTTTTGGCCGCTTTGAATTTCAGATTACTGCAGAGTTAACATGTTTTAGCAAAATTGTTCCCAACTCCAAGAATTAGCTTGGCTGGGCTATATGAGGTCATGACTGAGCCTTGATGGCCTTTTAATAGACCGAAGGGATGGTTGATGCCGTTCTACGTACAAGTTGGATCAAGTATGAGATTTACTAGAAACATGATCCACTAAATTAGCATTGAACTACCTATCCCAATCATTATGGTTGGTCTATGTGTTGGTGCAAATATCACTAAACATGAATAGGATTGAATTAATTGAAGATTACATCTGCCAATTCCCATCAATGGGTGTGTGCCAATATTGGCTTTGTACCTCTTTTGATAATGAATGGTGGCCCTTGATTTTGATTGAAAAGGATCTTGGGAGTTTGTTTTTGTAAAGCTCTATGATCAGGTAGGGTATGATTTTTGGCTTACCAATCTCATTAGAGGGTTATTTGAAAAAAATACGAAAAGAGAGAAATTCTAATCAAGCCATATAACCTCAATAAGGAACAATTTAAGGAGCCAGCTGATGGAAGGGACTATTTACTGAACAGATGAGAAATTATGAGGTAGCTAGTTTCCACGCATGATTATGAAGGCTTCTTCAACCGTCAATGTCAACGAATCAAAATTAGGACATTTTTTGTCCCTCGTCCCTTTAGCTCGAAGTTGGTCCAATAAATTAACGGAAGAATGAGACGATCGATGACCAATTTTAGGTGGGATTGCGTTAGTCATGGGCCTTAGGACTTTCGTTTTCTCAAACAGTGGATTTCTACACAGATACAAAAAGCCTATTAGTGGTCATAGGCCCCCATCTTTACCTGCCTACACAAGCATCAGAAGCTACAAGCCCAGTGTAGGTTGACCAAATGGTCTACTCCTATAACTTGCATATTTCGCAACAATAGAGTGGTCAGCAAACGCGTTGAACCTTAACAGCAACCAAAGATCATAAACCCTATGGACCATTTTTTTTTTATACCAGGAAAAGAAAAGTTATGATTGGTAGGTTAAGGACACATCATGGTAGATTATGCCCACTACAATGCTAACAACTTAACAAGAACAACAACAAACGCTAACTAGTTAGTAGCTTTTGTTTTGTCCTAAAATGAAATAGGGAGCAGTTGTAACCCCTAACGGATATGGGCGTCACCACCTTCCCGTTACGTGCTTATGGCACGTGCCAACTCCTTCTCTTCAAATTAATTAACGTCCCGCTTCACCCCCTCCAGCTCACGCCTTTCGTCAAAGACCAATGACAAAAACCAAGCTTATGTATAGTTGTATATACATACCCACATTTTTTAAGTCCAAAAGTCAAAACTACCCTCCAGTACAACCATCCTAGTAAATCAGCATGATCCGATGATTTTTAATTCGATGATAGGAATTTCAATAGATTAGTACGGTAATTGTCTTCTTGATTTTTTAGATTTATATTATGAAGTTAGCATTTTGAAATTTTAATGAATAAAATGTATTTTAAAAAATTAATTTTAATTGATACGCAAACTAATGTAAAAATATCGTTATTGTCTAAAAAAGAGGAGGGGGGGGGGATAAAGAGTTATATTGTATGTACTAAGAGGTCTGGGATTATTTTTAACCATTTGACGCATAACGAGCGATATTAAGTTTCTAAGAAAATATAATAATAATAAAAATAAATCAACAGGGGATAAGAATGTCTTTTTGGGTGATAGAGTGTAGAATTGATCAAGAATGGGTGCCCAAGTGGCACCGTTGATAATGATGTCAGAGGGAAGGAAAGTAAGAAGAAAGAGTCAGAAGAAGAAAAATAAAATACTACAACTAAAATAAACAATAGAGAATAAAAAGATTGTTAGCACTAAAGTGGAATGAGTGACGAAGAAAGAGGATTGTCAAAAAAGTTAGAAAAAAAAAGAAAGAAAGAGAGAGACAGAGTCGCTGATCGACTCTGACAGCCACCGCCCCAGTATTCACGACCAGGCAAAGACACCTTCTCTGGCCTCGCCCGCCGCCTCTCCACTTGCCAGTAGTCCATCCCCTATCATACACTACAGACAATCTCCCTGAGGCTGATATAGCTAGATCTCTCTTATAGTCTTGGGCTGTCCTGGTCATAAAGTTGTGTGTGTGTGGCTTGAGGTTATTTTTTGATGGATTAATTTTTTATGTCTAGCTAGGTCACCGCTCTGATCAAGGCAGTAAAACTGGAGGTGATGACATGTAACCAGATTTCTTTTCTCTGGGTTCGTGAGAGACGGGACGAAACCTAAACTGATAGCACTATACAATCTGGTCTTTCTTTCTTGTTGATCATTACTGGATATACTTTTAACTTGATTCATTTCTTGAAATCTCTCTATAGCCTTAGTTCCAGATTGAGATTTCTCCTCTGTGGGCTGTCTTTTATTGACACCAGTACGCATGTTTCCTTTTCTCCTATAAAAAGCAGGTGATCTTTCTATTAACCTTATTTAGAGAAGAAGAGGGTGTTAAAAATCTTGGAGGATTTGATTGGGGTTTGGTGGATACTGAGCTTTGATTTCAAATCTAGAGTGACTTGTTCAATACTAATTACTGTGGGAGATTGAGAAAGAGAGAGAGAGAGAGAGACTATGGTTGTTTTGGATAGCAGATACGCATGCAGACGGTAAGTACAATCGCCGTGGTTTTGCACTGTGAACTTTAGATTCTCAGAAGCCAAAAGCAGACACGTTTAACTTACTTCACTCATTTCTCTATATCTGAAGAACCTACCAACTCTCTCTACAGTCTTTGTCTCAAAACCTGCATGCACCAACAAACCCAAAACAACCCAATTCATCTCTCAACACATATATTTTTAGCGAAATCGACAAGAAACACAGAAACATTAGATTTTTAAAGAGATGCAGGGAGAGAGTGAAGATGTGAAGCCAAATCAAGAAAGGAGATTGAAATCGACACAAGGAGACGATCAACAGCAGCAGCAGCAGCCACCACAAAAATGCCCTCGCTGTGAGTCCCTGAATACCAAGTTTTGTTATTACAACAATTACAGTCTATCTCAGCCTCGATACTTCTGCAAGACTTGTAGAAGGTATTGGACACTTGGGGGCACCCTGAGGAGTGTTCCTGTAGGAGGTGGTTGCCGCAAAGGAAAGCGCGCAAAAACACCATCATCTTCCAGTTCTGGCGAGAACTCACGGTTGCAGCAACAATCGCAACTTTTGCAGCATAACTTGGCAACCCCACAAATTATCCTATCTTCTACTAATTCAGGTAATTCTTTAACTCCTGCTTTGAGGACCAAAGAATCAGGGAATTTGGCTTCACCTCCTCCTGGGATGTCTTCGATGGGGTCTTATTTTCCTGGTGGTGGATTCTTGACTTCTTTAGAAGCAATTCAGTCTTTGAATAATAACCAACCACCAATGCAGTCTTTCTCTCTTCAGCATCTAAATCAACCTGTCAATCTTGGTGGAGATTTAGGAGATACTTCAAATTTGGGTCTTTTGCATGGTTTCAGTGCAGTTCCTGCAGCTTTTGGGTTACAAAATCAACAGCAAAGGCAATTCTACCATGTGGGTAGTAGAGATAACAAGAGCGTAGAACATTCTTTTTATCCACATGATCAAGAGAGCTTGATTCAGTCAAGAAGGCCTGCTGCCACTTCTCATCAGCAGCAAAATTGGCATCAAGGTTTTATGAGCAATAGTAACCCTACTGTCTCTGATACTGCTTTGTGGAGTACAAGCACCAGCACCACCGTAGGGCATACTAACAGTAACATTAACAACACTGCTGGCTCCTCTTCTTTCAATCAAGATCAATGGCATCATGATCTGCCTGGATATGGACCTCCATCATGATGTCCGTAGCTTGTTTAGCCATTCTTGTAGCTCCCTATCAAGACTCCAATTCGAAACAGGCATCATGACTCCATCGCATTAACTCTTTGCTTTTTATAAACATGAACACCAACGAGTCTCTTTTTCTTGTTTCTCTTTACCTTGGCAAAATGATAGTGGTATATATATTATGTTTCATTATGGAACATAAACATATCTGGACAGAATATTATTGTTATGTGGTGTAAATGATAGAGTAGGGGCATTAGCCTTTTGTTTCATGTATTAGAGTGAATTTCTGCGTTGGGTTAGGTTGTTTGGAACTTCTGATCGAAGATATTTAGTAAAATGTGCTTGTAACAGTTTTTGCTTTTTCCTTTTCTCTTGTGCGCACTTCCATTCAAAAAAGTTTGAGCTTACTTTGTACTGGTTATTTAATTAGGGTTATTGTGAGACTTTACAGCATCAGAGTTGAAAGAGAGACGGGAGCCTCCAAAGAATAGGTAAAGGGTGCATGAGATAAGTAGGGGGAGGGAAGTTGGTGTCTTTGTAGATGTTGCTAGACAAGACAGTTTGTTCTTGTGCATGTGGTGACTCGACTATATAAGATGCTTTAATTCATCATTATTCTTGTTACAGTTCCAGTTCCAATTCCAATTCCAAATGCCTTTAACTCACCCTTTACATCTTGTACTGCCCCTCTCTCACCAACCCGATCTTGTCAATTATTTGTCATAAGAACATGCACTGCATAGTTATCTCTTGCGAAAAAAGAAATTCACGGAAAAATCTATCTAGTCAATTTGATGATTGATCATTAAGCACGATCTCATCATTATACCTTATGCGAATAATTTATGAATATCTGGAAAAAATTTTGCTTAGCATTTTGCACATAAGCGTTTTTGTATTTTTGCTAATAAGCATCCTCGTTTTTTTATTTTATTTTAGTAGTAAATGAAAAGAGTAAATTATAAATTAGTTTCTCATCTTCTTATCAATTTTTCTATAATTCTTTTTTTTTCTTAAAAAAATAAATTAAAAAATAACGAAAATGATTAATAATCATGATTTGGTTTTGAAAACAAAAGGATTAATTAATTCGTTTCTTAAAAAAAAAACTAATTTATAATTTACTCTAAAGGAGAACTAAACATATTTCAGAAACGGCAATATATATATATATATATATATATATATATTAAACAAGACGAAGCAAAGTTTTATCTTAAAAGGACAGCTAAAAATCATTTAGACTTTAGACAGTAGCGAATCAGGGTAATATGATTGATTATATATCTTAGCTACCAGAGAACGGGTGATTGTTTCATCTATGACAAATTAAATACTACTAAATTTATGTTAAGAATTTAATACTCTTAATTATATGATCAATTATATTTCCCAACACACAAAAATTCGCATCGTTTTCTCTAATTTCCCAACTTGCAAGCATATTGTAATGATTTTTCAGCAGTGATATACTATTATTCATGACAAATTCTTGTTTTGGGTATTTTTAGAACTTGCAAGGATGATGAGAGGTTGTTAAGAACTAACCAAATTCGAATTCCAAATTGTAAATCCAAAAAACCAAAAAAAAAAATGCATGAATGATTAAAGGTTCGGGCCTTTGAGTTCTCGTGAATTTGTAGATGAAAGAAAAGAGAAAGAAAAGATTGGTTTGGTTGATGAGGTAGCAAAGCATGCACTCCTAAGCACATGACATATATATCGAAGCAAACGAACATGTTTTTGAAGTACTTTATGCTTTGTCATGGTTAAACAATGTTTGGTGGGTGGTGGGGGCGTGGAGGTGGGTGCTGTGGTTTCCGAGTAAAGCAAATCTTTAGTCTGCCATGGAGAGATTTGTGTCCAGAGAATATGACACCTCTCGGGATATCTCCATCACTGCTTTTCCGTACACCACCCCTCAATTTACTTTGCAGAACTCATGCCTGCAGGCTCATGCTATGGTGTAGGAATCCCAATTTAAAGAACAAACGAACATATGCTCTTTCAAGTTTTGGCTATCTTGCTAGCTAGCTAGCTGAATCTATTCGAGGCTAAAAGGCTATTTTTGGTGGAGCCTGGATTTTTTAAAAGAAAAAAAAATTAACGACAATGAAAATTGTTCCATGCAGGCTAATACATTTCATTAGATAAAACATGTAGTGCTCAAAGTTTGGTCGCAGCTCACTCTGCAACTCAACTGTTATTTAGGTTTTTATTTTTCAAAAAGGTAGGTTTTTGTAACAAAAAATAGGGGAAAAAAATTCATTTCTGCTTGATTTGGAACATAGTTAGTGTATATTTTTGTTCCGATCTAGAATATTAAAGATGTATTTGGTGTGCCGATGAAACCAAACCAATGTGAAGTTCGGACGTAGACACTATTGGATGGATAAATGTCCCATTGGGGAGGTAGAACGAAACTTAATAAATTTACATTAATCTAATTTCCAAGAAATTTCTATTTCATCCTCTTTAAAGAAGAAAAACTCACCCAGCTTCCCAAGTACTGTTCCTTTAGAAATTATAAGATTTGAGTTGTTTTTATAGTACAAGACTCTTTTGAGTCAAAAGTCGGAAAAGCAATTCAACTCAAATTTGAGTTGACCAAACAGAATGGAGTTTTAATCACCAGCTAGCTATCGATTTAAGGAGACCACCATCAAGCTAATTCACCCGTAATACAGACAATAAGAAATAATTAAGGTTGAATGATGTTTCATACCGATCTGATTTGACTTGACCTGATTTGCATCTTTGCTACGTGCAATCTAATTCTTATCATATGACAGCATCCAATTAATAAAGACTGCTTAAACCCTAAGGATGGTATCTAAGGGTTAAATGATAGTTTCCACCACTGTCCAAGAATCTTTTATGGAGTGGGTTGGTGAGATTTCTGCCTCAATCATACACTAAAAGATATTACACATTCCTTACCCGAGAATTCAGAATCCTTCTTTGTTATTTCAGTTGCTTTTTAGGGGTTTTGGTTGATGCATGGATGAACAGTCTTATGTTTAGTTTTAACATCACTCCTGCTTAGGGTTACGTTTGACGTTTAAAGAAATTTGCTATCTTAATTTCTTCATTTCATGAGTTATATATATATATATATATATATATATAGGGCTGTAAATTGTTCCGATCTTGATCCGAATTTGATACAATTAAATTAATTTGATAAATAATTTTTTTTATCCGAGTTTGATTATGGCTCAAATTCATTAATATATTTATTAAATGAATTAAATCTAAATATACATTGATCCAATCCGATAATAATTTGACACAAAATTAAAAACAATATTTATAATAAATATAATATTAAAAAAATATTAAAATATTAAATATAAAATTATATATAAATATGAAACTAAGTTAAAATTTGTAGTTTATTTATTATAAAGTTCAAATAAGTTTAGAGTGAAAAACCTATTGTGATATATTTCATATCTTTATAAAAATTACTCATGATGTTTTAAATGTTCCAACAACTACAATGAGAGGTAAAGTTATCAATGATTATCAATGATTATCGTACATTTTTACTTTCGAGAGATTGTAGAGGTGATAGCTTTGAGAGATTGTAGAGGCAATAACTACTACAAGTGATTGGCTTCTAAATTGAAATAAAAAAACATGTGATATTTTATTTACTTAGCTTATTATATTTCTATTCTTTATACACTAACTAATTATTAAAAATACATGATAATATTAATAGATTTTTTTTTCTTTTTTTCTTTGCGGATCTTGATTTGTAGCATTATCATTTTGGAATTCGAATTAACAAATATTTATTTTATCGCCACTTAGAATAGAAATAAAAATTATTTATTATTTGTTTCTTTTAGTTTTATCGTACTTCCTATATAGTTTAAGACAATTTTTTTATTAAAATTATTTGATTTTGTATTTTTGAATTGTGTGTCATTTTGAAATTTTATAAATTGATAGATGAAATATTATCTTTATATAATATATATATATATATATATATATATATATATATATATATATATATAGTGGTTGAAATATATTTTATATTTAAGTAATATATTAAATATAATAAGTATAAATTTTATTTTTACAAAAACCAAGATATAAATTCGATGGAGCTTTAAATTCGATCCATATATATTAGAATCTAGATTCGAGTTTCAAAATTCCATCCGAATTTATAAGATTTAATTTGATCCGTTTTATTAACAAATCCGATTTGGATCTACTATCATCCGATTTGAGTTTGTTCCATTAACAAACCTAATCCTTGACATGATTTGAAGATATTTTTTTGAATAACAAAAAGTATAATAATTTCGTGCTATCAGGATTCCTTTAAATCTTGACTAGCTATTATGTCAAAAAGATAAAGTTTCGATTAGTAATAAAATTAAAGATTTTTATGGATAAAAAATTATATAAAACAATCAATGTTAATAATAATATAAATAGTTGTGGAGGGAAAATTAATATTAAAAAAGGCACACCTATATGTTGATGCTGATGATGTTTTCTTTTTAGTGAATTATAAATCAGTTTCTCTAGTTTTGAAAAATAAATGAAATAGTCATTTTATTTTAAAAACTAATTAATTAGTCTATTTCATTTTTTCATGTTTTTTTTATTTTTTTAATTAATACAACAAAAGAAAAATATAGAAAATAATATGAAAAGACTAATAGAAAAGAATATATTTTTTAAAATAAAATAATATTAAATTAAATATGATTAATAAAAAATATTTAATTTATTATTTAAAACTAGAAGGATTATTTATCATTTACTCTCTCTCTCTTTTCATCGTGCTTATATTTATGAAGATGAAGTATGGGATTTAGAGATGGCGGTTGCCCCGTTAAACGGGGCTTTGCCCTTCTTCACATCGATCAATGCAAAGATTCTTCGAGTTCACTAAGAAATGAGGTAGGGCGTCTCATTGACTTTGAACGAGGATGGTATTTGATCATTCCGTCTTGTCCTTTTCTCTAGAAATTATAATTATA